GGGTTGAGGGTTCAGGGTTCGCGGTTCAGGGTTCAGGGTTTAGGGTTCAGGGTTTAGGGTTTAGGGTTTAGGGCTTAGGGTTTAGGGTTCAGGGTTTAAGGTTTAGGGTAGAACCTCTGAACGGCCAGGACTCAGATAGCTTAGCTGATGCACCCTTGAAGACCATTCCCGGCTGGCTGAGGATGTTCTCCAGTACCCAGACCCCCAAAGTATGAAGAACAATTACCTTCCAGGCCAATATGAATGTTTTTTTTGGCAATTGTGTTAGGTGTTTTTATGTTTGAGGTAGGGTTTAGCCCTGAGTTGTGAGCTTCTACCTCTTGGGCCGTGTAGGGGGCGGCTTGTAGTAAGTAAGTCCAAACTCTTGAAGTCGAAAGGCAAAAAACCTCCAGGCCCAAATCGCGAACACCGTGGTTTAGGGTTTGGGGTCTAGCGTCTAGGTTTTAGGGTTTAGAAACCACCACTCAACGGGCTAGAATTTGACCTAATATTACTGGTTACCATCCCATGAGAACTGAAGTACACGTTCTCCAAGAACATCCCCGACTCACCTAGGCCCCTAATCACCACACCCCGAACCAGAAAGCTTCAGCCTGAAATCTAAATATGAAAAGCTGAGGCCTTAAGCCTTGAACTCTGCAGCAGCAGAACTACTGGTGGTCAGGAGTGAGGTTCGGCACCAAATCCTCATGATGGCTATGCCTGATCTCAATCAACATTACCTCGATTCACTCCCCCATTCCCAATTAAACATTAAGCCCAAGTTCTCAACCTAAATCGCCACATCCCTAATCCCTAAACCCTACACCTCAACCCTAAAGTCGAAACCCAGAACCCTAAACCGGCTAAGCCCACTTAGCAAGCCCTAGGAAGTGAAGCCAGCTGAAGGGGAGGCTGCCAAGCCTTTGGCCGAGAATGGCGGCAGCAAGGACCTGCGGTCTCAGGTAGTTACCTGGAGGTCCGTGGGCAATGTAAAGGGATTAAGGGTTAAGGGTCTGGGGTTTGGGTTTAGTGTGTCGGGTTTGAGGTTTCGGGGTTTAGGGTTTGCGGTTTAGGGAATACAAGGGGACAGGCTTATATATATGTATATATATATGTATAATTATATATGAGCTACAGTCTGAACTCCAAGTATCCCCTTTAACAATCGCTATAGTAGTCCCCTATATAATCTCCTATACAACCCCCTTTCAGAAGGTTAGAATGGCTCACCTGAACCCTACCCTAAACCTTAAACCCTAAACCAGAGACTGTGTGGGTTTAGGGTCAAACAGGTTCGCCCTTTCCGGAGGTCAGTCAAGGTCATCCACCAGGAGCACTCCGTAGAAATACACTGCAAGCGTGTGTACGGTTTAGGGGTTTAGGGCTTCAGGGGTTTAAGGTTTAGGGGTTTGGGGTTTAGATTTCAGGGTTCAGGGTTTCGGGTTTAGGTTTCAGGGTTCAGGGTGTAGGGTTTGGGGTTTAGGATTCAGGGTTTAGGGTTTAGGGCTTAGGCTTTAGCAGCCTGTGGCCAGCAACTTCCAGACATCGCGTGCTGAGCTGAGCCCTATCTTGCCCCTAAGTCACTAAGTGAAAGACGTGACGAGCCTTGAACGTCAATGTTGATTTACCCCATCCTGGATCCCCCATGTGCCCTGCACCCTCAAGCCCCAAATCCTAGACCCTCAGCCGCCTCAGCCCTGGGCCTTAAACGCTTTAAAAAGCCTGCACCCTAAAGCCCCAGCCAAAACCCTGAACCGTAAAGCCCGACCCTAGACCCTAAACCCTGAACCTTTTCATGTCTTAAATCATGCCCAGGAGACCAGTGATGCGGAGAAGCCACCCCGGGATCCGGAGGAGCCTCGCAAGGAGGAGGCTCCGAAGGAGAGGGGTTTAGAGTTTATCCCAAAAGCAAGGGCATGTCAAGGAAGTGTACCAAAACCCAAAGGTTTGTAGAAGTGGGCTTCTTCACTGGGTTTCGGGCCATGATTTTAGCGAGTTCTGAGGTCTAGGTAGGGTTTAGCCTTGGGGGGGGTTTTAAGGATGCAGTTTTCTGGTGGGCTTGGGGTCTAGGGTGGAGGGTAGGGCTGAGGTTTTTGGAGGATTCTCAGGTAGGCTGAAAAGGGGCAGCGCGATACCATGAAGCATTTGGATCTACCATCGTTCTGCAGGCACTTAACGGATGTAGAGTTTAGGGTTTAGGCTCTTGGGCCAGATGCCCAGCCTTTGCCCTCCTAGTGTTGCTGGTTGTTCCTAAGGAATGGAAAAGAAGCTGAACCCAATGTAGTTTAAGGCAGTATGTAGGGGCTGCTATTTGGATCCCTTCCTGAACTTCCCCAGTAACAACCCCAAATCCCAAACATTTAGCCCTAAATCCTTCACACCCCAGGAAGAAGTGCAAACTCTGCTGCAGGATGAAGCTCCCAAAGATATTTCGGAGGATGTCTCCATGGAGGTTCGGCTGGATCAGAGTGCAAGGTTTAGGGTTGAGGTTGTTGGGTTCAAGGTTGGTTCAGAGGCTTCTAAAATATTGAGCTTGGTTTTCTGTATACATGGGTATGTAAGCATTTTTTGGGGCGGGTCTTAGGTTTGTGGTGGGGGAAGTGCTTAAGATCTTTTTGTGCGTCTTCCCACGCCCCAATGCAGTGGTGATTTAGGGTACAGGGCCTGATGTAGCTGGACCTGTTCCCGTTCGGAAAAGCTCTGTTCCAAACAAGCGGTCAGAAGCTAGTTTTGTTCACCACATGGATGCCCTGCTTGAGTTTCAACTGTTAGTCAAAGATTCCACCCAGAAGCCCGATCTTAATTATAAAGCCTGAAAGGAACACAAACATAATCACAGGAACTGCAAGATTGGCATGCCAGCAGGAGGCCCATGCCTTAAACGTCCAAGCACTAGACCCCAAAGCCTCAAAATCAGTAAGGCCGGGTCTAAACCTAATTATTATTACCATTACTATTACTATTATTACTATTACTATGACTATTACTATTACTATTACAGTGACCCGTTTTGTATTATTAGTATAATTATTATTCCTATTACTATTACTGTTACTATTACTATTACTAAGCCACACGCCCTGTGACTTACCAGGACCCAGCTCCCGTGGCGGCGAAGTCGGATACTCCGAAGCAGGATTCAGCAAGGCCCATATAGCTGCTTTGGGGCCCAAGTATGTACTATACAGCTACATGGACCCGCTGACTTTGAGGTTTAGGTGTCACGGTTTAGCGTGGTAGATTGACTTGAGGGTTTTTAGTCTTCAGTTTTTTTGTTTTTGGCTTTTAGTGTTCAAGGGTTGGTAGGCTCTGTAAGGTCTGGGGTTTGGAGTTCAGAGCTTTGGCTTTAGGGTGTGTAGACTTTCCTGAAACATCCCCATGTATTCCAGTGTTCCGAGGTCCCCGACCCAGAAACCCTTAATAAACCCTGACCCCCATCCCTGGCTTTTGCCACACCATAAACCGTAAACCCTGAGCCCTATATGAGGCCGGGGTGGTGACGCTCAGGGTTTGGGGCTACTAGGTTCCGGACAAGACAACGTGTTCTGAAATCGGGTTGTTGGGGGTTCGAGGTTCAGGGGTGCAAGGTCTATAGGTTGTAGGTGCCGATGTTTTCGTTTCGGGGGTTAGGGAGGACGACGGAATGGGCTTTCGAAGCCTTCTTGCAGCGAAGGCGGCCGAGCGATTTCATGTTGAAAACGGCAAACCAGGATGACCAGTTGGTCTCCAGATGGCCGGGGCAATGAGGTGAGTTCAGAAGGCGTATAATGTATATACGTGGGGAAGCCAACGTCTGGATCTTCTGCAAGATTCAGACCAACATCTTTACAATCTTTCAAGAAATTTGCGGGACACCTCAACAAGTCTTAGTTTGGTCTGGCGCAGCCTACATCTGCGAGTTTCCCAAGACTTGTGGAAATCCTCTGGGGGACCTCAGCACTCTCATCGCCATACGATCTATAATCTAAACTTCGTGAAGGGAGTTATAGGTGGTTATATAGGGGACTGTTATAGGGCTGACTAAGGGGCATACTAGGAGTTAAGACTATAGCTCATACATGTTTCTATTGAATGTATGCATACACACACACACATCCCAGGAGCCTTTGAGTACCCTAACCTTGACGAACGCATACGCATTCATGCACCGGGATGCCACGCAGTCCAACCTAGTCCTAATCGCTTCCCCCTGATATTAAAAGACGTCCCCTCACACCTCAATATTAAATAGTCTGGGCCCGAAATGTCTCATATCAGGCGCACGATTTAAAGAAAGAATTAGACAGGGCTACCTTTAAACTGTCTAGATTCCATGGAAAACCAAGAATTAGTAACTTAAATCGATTAGTTAATAGTCGAATATGTAGTCAATTGAAATTCGTTTTAATTGATAGTATACTTCATAAGCTGACTATCATTAAGTACTAGAACTCACCCTGAGGCATGACTAGGTGGCCCATGTTTTAAAGTAGTCTTGCCCTTCTAAATAAGTGATCTTCAGTATGTTAAGCACGTGAAACTATTAAAGATTAGGGGCGGGACTTGCACATTAGGGGGAAGGAAGTACTGTTGATGCCCAACAATCCTGCATGACCTTAGTATACCTTAATACCTAAACTCGAACGCCTGAACTGATTTTTTTTACCTTAAGCGCTCACTTCACGGCATAGGGTTTTGGATTTCATGTTTGGGGCTTTAGGGTCCATTGTCAACTATGGCCTTTTTGCAACGCTACTTAGAAGCCGTCATAAGGAAGCTGGGGGGCTTGCGGTGCTTGTAGATGGAGTATACGTAACTTATTTGGGGGTTCCCGCAAAATGGGGGTACCTTCTGGACTTCTGGGGGTCCCTAGAATAAGGATTAGAGCACTTGAGGGTCTATTTTGGGTTCCCCCTACTTAGGGAAACTATGTTATTAGGTCGAATACTACCCATGGGCCTCCAAGCACAAGTTCATGAAAGAACGCTACATGATGGTTGGCAACTCTTTTGATTGTTGAGAGGTTAAGATGGTCAGAGACGAACGGGGTTTAGGGTTTAGGGTTTATACTGCAGAAGGCCAAACAATTACCAATGCTACTGGCTTGTAGACCTTCTAATATAGCTGTAGTACGACCAACACCCTGAAACCCCATTGAAATCATTCGGGCTTCTACAGTACAAGCCTGTCGTGGAAGCTTGTTGCCTGAATCTGCATACTCCTATAAACTTCATGTGTGGGCTGCGTGGATGTCTACAGAGTACTTCACTAGATGGTACTGATCTTCATGCTTGTTAGAGGGTAATTCAGGTTGTCATGTATGTTAATGACTTGTTTGGCGTGTGGGTGGTTGCGGCTGGTATCCCGCAAGCATGCCACGCCACCAATTATCCAGCCTCCAGATGACTCCACCCCCAGTTGTTGCTGCATGTAGGCTATCGTGCAAAAACACCCTTCAGGGTTAGGATTTGAGATAGCTCGATTTGTGTATTTCATTCATTCTTTGGGGAGCACAATCGTTTCTCTCGCTTTGGGAGCAAAAAATGTAGTGAGTAACCCTATTTCTACCCGGCAAGGCCGGATGTGACCGAACCGGTGCCTGGCCGTTTTGGTGCGGGTGTATACAGGGATGCTATTCTCTTGTTTGGGTGGACCGTTGCACATACGGTTCTAGATACGTATGGAGTGTATGTCGGGTTCTATTGTACCCTAAGGGTCCAAGGACCCAAATAATAGAGGTTTAGGGCCCAAACACCATCAATTCTATAGTATTTGGGCCGTAAAACCCTATTATTTGGGTCCTTGGACCCTTAGGGGTAGGAATTCTGGATTTTGGGTTCGCCCCGCTCTACCGCGGCTAGGGCGCGAAAAGAAATAGTTTTCCTGTTGGGGATGAATCCGTCGTGGATCCTCCTTTTCTTTCGATACCTGAACCCCCAAAGTAAAGTATGTAGAATGGCCTTTTGGGCTGTTTTAGGGGTTTGGGGCTATTATTTTACCTATTTTTTGGGGGTTGTTATAATCATCTGGGGCGCGGCATAGGACGCGCAAGGAGTTTCCCTATGAGGCTTGAGTCCCTAGAAGGGCTTACACTGACATCCCTCGTGGCTATAAGTTGGGTAAAGCCCCCCACATTGTGCAACAGTTGGGTAACATTTAAGAGAATTATATATAGCCCTTATTATGACCGTCATATAGACTGCTACAGGGTGGGCTCTCATTGATGCAAGAAGTCTGTAACTCTAGGCCTCCGACTGACACCCAAAACGCCACTTCCATTGGGTTGGAGTACGAATGCCCATAGATGCTTGATAGTTACCATAAGCTAGGGCACTCCCAACTAGCGTAAGATGCCATGCCGTTATGTATAGGGAGTTCTATATAGGGACCCCTAATTTGGTTCTTGGGGCAGTGTGTTTTCTGGACTCTTGCAGAGGCATATCAGGCGGTGCAGAACTTCCTCCATCCCCCGGCAGCCATGGGTAGGACTGCCTAGGTTCCGGCACAGACTCCATGATCCTATGTCTGGTAGGGCAAACCTATTCTTTGGGAGTATCCCTTTAATCCTTATGGCTTAACCAACTTCTAGGATAATTACTGCTACTGTTGTTATCAAAAAGTGACACAAGCATTTCGTAAAATACCTGCCTCACCCTAGCGTTTCCTGCCACCATGACTCGTGCTCAGGTATAGTCCGTATTGGTATAACGGGCATTGCATCAGTCCCACAACCACTTAAGCAAGGGTGGGGGAGCTAACACGGCTATTTGCATTGGGGCATTTAAGAGCTTATAGTTCATTATCATTGGGGTGTCTATGGCGGTTGCCTAGACCCCCCATGTATCCTCTAGATACGCTAAATACCCAGTTCTGGAGACCATATACAGGGTACAAGGAGGGAAGGCCCTAAACCCTAAACCCTAAACCCCCTAAACCCTAAACCCCCTAAACCCCCTAAACCCTAAACCCCCTAAACCCTTAACCCCAAACCCAAACCTGAAACCCTAAACCCTAAACCCCCTAAACCCTGAACCCCAAACCCAAACCTGATAAACCCCCTAAACCCTGGAGCCTCAGGAGCACGGTAAGAGCTCACTCCCAACACCGCAGCTCAAGGCAGTAGCCAGGACCTAGACTCTAACCCCCCCAAACCCTAAATTCCCAAAATTAGGGGTTCCATTTTGGGGTCCCCACAACAGGGAGTATAGTCTTTTGGAATCTATAGTTGGGTTCCCCCGTTTAGGGAAACTACCAAAGTCCCAAACCCAGAACCTTTAAACCTATAAGTCCTATGTCCTACACCTTCAATTTTTCCCCCTAATCCTAAATCCCGACACCCTAAATTATACCCCAAAGCTTCAATTCCTAAACCCGAAGCCCTGATTACCTGGGATCAGGTGCAGATTGCTGACGATGCAGCAGACAAGCCTGCAGTCGACGAGTCTGCACCGAAGGCGACCGGGGGGGCAAGGGGGGGGGGGGGGG